AATTCAGCAAAGTAAATACATCTCGTAAATATTTCTCCTTTTGAAATTATAAATGACATAAATTATTAAAGAATAAATAACGAACTGTGCAATTAAGTATATGATATCTACGTAGATGATTAATTACTAAATTTCACTAATTATTATTATACATTAAATATTAAATATTTAATAAATTATACAATTCATAATAAAATTGTATACTATACTATACTCATATATTCACTGTATTTCAGTTAATAATAAAACCACAAAAATTCCAATGATTATTTTGCAAAACCGGAAGCAATCAAAAAATTTGAATCCCGTTCAATCCCTTACAAAAGCAATAAACCATCGATGAAATATTTTCTCTACAACAGAACTTCGAAAAACCATTCGTTATCCCTTTTTACAAATTTTCATCTCGAATCATCACACGCAGTGACGATGACAATAATAAATTCCACGGTTGGATAATTCCACAAAAAAAATTTTAAAAAATACACACAAAGAATTCTGAAATTTTTACTCGCGACGATCCACAGGAGTTCATCTCGAGATTTTTAAGCTCGAAATATTTTCACGATATCGAGCCATTTTAAGATCACGCCCGGAACCGGGTGAACATGGTTTCCGGAAAATCTCGGGGAAATTCGATGTTTTCCAGCTTTTCAGCTATAATAGATTCAGTTTTCATCCCCTTCCTTGGTTACTTCGCGAAAATCGCCCATGTGCTCGAGATGTTTTAGGATGCATCGTTACAGGATGGAAATTTTAATAATCTTGTAAACTGTAATGCGTTTAGCTAGTGCTCTTCTTTGTCGAAGAAGCTGGTGAAATTTGATTTTAAAGACTTGAAACGCGAATTACGGTTTATTGCAAATGGAAATTTAAGAAAAATTTTTTTTAAGTAAGTTTTGATCATTTTTTGATGATATTCGATCATAATTGAAATTGAAAAAAAAGAGATTTTAGATGTATCAACTGTGTAACTTTATTTTTAAATTTTAAAGTTGCAACAAGTATATATTATACTATTGTAAAATTAAATTACGATGAAAATGGCATTTGGATTTTTCTGAAATATTAATAATTTCATTGTTCATAATTTCTTATTTAAAATTATCATTTTTTTTTTCATTCAAGTATAATTAATAAATTACTAATAAATACATAACTAATAAATTAAAGTATATTAAAATATACTTAAAATATAAAATAAAATATACTAAATATATTAAAATATACTATATATAAAGAATAATATTAAAATTGCCCTATTTTTAAATTCTTATTTATGCTAATTTTAATTATAAATAAAAAGAGATGGACAAAATAATATAATCATTAAAAATTGTAATTTTAAAATAACTCGCTTAAAACTAATTTTTAAGCATTAATTTTACCAATATTGAAAGTCCATATACTCTTTCAAAAGTTAGATCTCGCGAGACACAGAATTTTTCCAGATTGATGCCTCAGTATATAAGAACGAGACAGAGAAGGACAGAAAGAATACTGAAGTATGGCACTGAAGATGAGCGAAGCAGTGCCATCTCTTCTCGAGTCGGATCGAGTCGAGTCGAATCGAATCATGACACCCGAGGGAAATAAGTTTTGACCGATCATACATCGGCTGTCTGATCTCAAACTGGTCCCAACTATTGCAGAACCCTAACGGACAATTGACACTCTCGGTCAATTTATCGGCAATTTTATTTCTCGTTTCTTTTTAGAAATTCATTGCAATTGAATCGAATACATGTATCAATGCGTGGAGAAATATATGTGATATGGATAGATCAAGTTATATGCATGTAAGATTCTTTTTTTTTTTTTTAAGAGATTAAAGTAGAAAGTGTTTTATAGAAGATTAATTTTTATTAAGAGAGAGAAAACAGTTTTAAAAAATTGAGACATATTTTGGTTTATAAAAAGATAATATTTATTGGTTTCATACGAAAATTAATTTAGAAAGAATAAAATAGGTTAGAAATATTAAAAAAAAAAGTAAAAATTTTATATTTATGAAAAATACAAGAAGAAATATTTTGAATTAAATTAAAATTTCATATTGGGAATAAACACCAAAACTCTTAACTGAAAACTGATCAGAATTTATGATCTTAAATGTTTGCTCTTTCCTTCATATAGTTTTGCGAGTAACCGTACTTATGAATTTAAATTCACGTCGCACTTTTTTTCGTTGTATATTTCAATATAAACAAATTCCAAAATTTTCTATTATCTTTTTCGACAAAATTTTAGCTTTGAATTATGTAAATCCAAAATACAAGTAAAATTTAATCTCGCTATAAAAGTTTTCTAACCTAATCGTTAAAAAACTTCGGTCGGACTATTTAGTTTTATTTAAGAAAAAAACAGAGAGCAATAACAATAAGGAGAAGATTTAAGCGAAGATTGCGCACAATAAAGTTTCACAAGAAAGGGAAGGAAATGCATTTTCATAAAAATTTATACAATGACAGGAAACACATAAACGTCAAGTGCAACGTATACGGTAAAACGGTTGGATCTTTAGATGAGCCCGGTTTCCTTTGTTTCCAGGATACAGCCGGTAAGTTCATTTTCTTTCTTGAAAAGAGGGCGTTCGGGATGCGAAATTAAGTTGCAGAATTTTTTCTTCGTTTTCTCGATCATTCATCTTGTGAATTTTATTCTAACGAGGATAATACGCGAATCAATGTTGGAATAAATGGTCGAAATAACTGGAAATATTAAGAGGTTTTTTGAATCATCCTCGAAATGGTTTTTAAACGAGAATTGGATATAAATGGAACTCGTGAATATAAATTTAAAAGAGGTGGAAGAGGTTATCATTTCACTTCTGAAGGGAATGTATATCAAGGAATATCGATAAAATTTGTTTCAATATTCTAAATTGAAATTCACGTTTTGCAAACTCTGCTTTTGATATTATAATTTTTTATCTTTCTAAGTTAAAAAATCAAAATATTGCCTTTTAAATGTCGTATAAAGTAAAATAGAAAAATCAAATGAATTTATCAAATTCTTTTATAGTATTGTGCGACTAAAACAAAAACAAATATTCTAAAATATGCAAAATACATCGTATTCAAAATATATACATGTATACTATGTCAAACTATTGATAATTTGATAATTTTTATTTAGAAAATATCGATAATTTATTTCGTAGATTTATCTATATAAAATTATAAAAATTTTTTTAAATTTGCATTATAAATTATCATATAAAATATGATCTAATATATCTAATATATTATTTCAATATTTTTTTCTATTCTATTCTATTCTGTTTCAAAATATGCAGATAAAATATCCAAAAAAAAAAAAAAATAATAAATATTCAAAAATTTTTTCCAACTTTCAATATCATAATCTAATCTAACTAAAAATTTTATTTAGAATATGATTAAATTCGTTTATATTCAATTATTATATTCAATTATTTTTTTTAATAACATAGCACACAAAAATGACTCAAAGAGGTTAAGGATATCTTTAATCAAAAATACAAAAGAAGACAGAAAAATCTAAATCTATATCTGCGGCGTATCAAAGCACAATGAAATTCCATGGAATATCGTATAAATATGAACGAGAGGAGAGAACAACGCTTGTCTCTAGTCCGGAAGTTATTTGCTCGTTGGATCGACGTCGATACAAGGGAACAAGAATCTCGACAGCCACTCGAACGATCAAACGTCCTTTCGACGTGCCCACCAGCTACAAGGAGAGCAACTTTACCGGTTGGCTTCGTGCTAGTGACATGTGACGTCTAAATTCCTCCAGTAAATTACCGAAGCCATCTTTCTCTCTTACCATCTCTGTCTATCTATCTATCTTTGTCTTTCTTCTTCTTTAGTCTGGTTAGATGTCCTGTTACATGTGAGAAGCGCTTCAAGACATGGTTTAACATAGTTTATATGAGAAAAAAGTCGGTATAAGCTTACAGAGATTCACGAAATTATTTGAACAAGTTTTTTTATAGAAAAATTTAAATCATTGGAAAATTCTGATTTTAATGAAAATTTGTGTGTATGTAAAGAGTATATAAACCCTCTTTTTTATTATATTTATTTATCTTCCATAATATGTGAGTTCAAAAAATGATTTAAAGTGGTTTATATGAGAAAGAAAGTTCGTATAAATTTATACTCGAACGATCAAACGTCCTTTCGACGTGCCCACCAGCTACAAGGAGAGCAACTTTACCGGTTGGCTTCGTGCTAGTGACATGTGACGTCTAAATTCCTCCAGTAAATTACCGAAGCCATCTTTCTCTCTTACCATCTCTGTCTATCTATCTATCTTTGTCTTTCTTCTTCTTTAGTCTGGTTAGATGTCCTGTTACATGTGAGAAGCGCTTCAAGACATGGTTTAACATAGTTTATATGAGAAAAAAGTCGGTATAAGCTTACAGAGATTCACGAAATTATTTGAACAAGTTTTTTTATAGAAGAATTTAAATCATTGGAAAATTCTGATTTTAATGAAAATTTGTGTGTATGTAAAGAGTATATAAACCCTCTTTTTTATTATATTTATATATCTTCCATAATATGTGAGTTCAAAAAATGATTTAAAGTGGTTTATATGAGAAAGAAAGTTCGTATAAATTTATAGTATTTGAATATTTAATATTAATATTTATTAATATTTGAATATTTAACTGAAAAATTCTGATTTTAACGGAAAATTGAAATTTATGTGTATTTAAAACATATGCATTTTTTCTCTTTTATTATCTCTATCTATTTATTTATCTTTCTTTTTCTTTAGAACTATCTGTAAGATAATTTTTGAATTTAAACAATGAAACGCGAATGAATAATTTTTTTATTTTTTTTAATGAAAAAGTTTTTGCGAGTATGTAATTATCATTTAAGAAAGTGAAATCAATGTTCAAAGTTTTATTATATTTTCATTTTCTCGCACTTTTATAAATTACATCACTTTTCAAATATACTCGTTTAAACGAACATTTTTTATTTTTATGCTTTTACGCTTTCGTGTCACATATGAAATCCATTTATGTAATATGCGTTCACAATCATTTTTTATTCTTATTTAAATCATCTCTGAAACGATCACCATGACTTGGTATATCTACGATCTCTTTCCATATCACATATATCCTTTCTTCTTTCTTCTCTCATTTCTTTCTCGTGAACAAAAGCTTTGTAGGAATTTTCGCCATGGGAACGAACCGCCACTTGGCAATCACGTTGACTTTACGGGACCCATGGTAACTGAAACGCGATTAATCCGTTAGAAAAGTAATTCTCAGGAGTATGAAGTGCATCCAGTCGAGAAAACGTTTCTTTCTTTCTTTCTTTCTTACTTGTTTGCTCGATCCACACAGTTGGAATTCGTAAGTTTGTTGCCTCTCGTTGTGTTTTATTTTGTCTTGCATGCAGGGTTATCGACGGGGATTCCAGACTTTTAGAGTCTGACGTCACACTCTGATTTAGGAATAGGAGAGGGGAAAAGTCAGGTTGGGTAGGGATTGTCGATTAAATCTATGTCTCCATACTTAGTTTGTTCTCTCTCCACCTCCAAATCTGTATGACGTCAGAATAATTGGCTCTGCCAATAAAATTTAAAACTAATTCTTATTCTTCCTTTACTACTCTCAGCAAAATAGAATTGCGAATTGAATCTATGCTTCTCCAACTAACTTTTTCTTTCTTTATTATTTTTAAATCTGCGCAATATCAGACTCTGAAAATGTAGAATTCAAATCCAAAATATTTCTAATAATGATTCTTTTTTCTTATACTTTCTTAATTCTTTTTTTTTTTTTTTAAGAGAATTTTATATTAAAGGTAAAAAGTATATAGTGCAATAGAAATCTCTATAAGTTCTATTATCTTAACATGTAGAATTTTTTAAATATCATATAAATATCTCTATAAATTTTTATCCAATGATGATTGAATTTTAAATGCAAAAATTTTAAAAATTTGTAATCTCACTACGTTCACGAAAACATATTCTAAATAAAGTTGTTATTCATCTAAGAGAATCCAAATATTGTTTTTAAACAGCTAAAGTAAATAAATATATTATAATTCCATATGCAAATTGAAATATTTGTTCTCCTTGCACAAAATTTTTATGCGATAATAAAAATACATAGAAAAAAAAATCCACTAAAAAATTCATTAATGCAGAAAACCAAAATTATATCGTGATTAATTTCGTTCTATTATATTTCAGTTCCTTCTTTTTCGTATTTTTTTTTTTTTTTTTTTTTTTGTAGCAGTCTAATAATTTAACGAGTATTTCCAGAAATTAAAAATCTTAGAAACACAATGATATTCGTACATGTACAGATATGGAGAAAATCCTAGTTCCATATATTGTACAGCTAAAGAGCTCTCAACATGATGAGAGTCATTACAAAAGATGAGGCGGCTATGTCTAATTTTAGAATAGACCTCGCCAGTTTCAGTTGAGTCCCTGTGACCATAAAACAAACGTGTACAAGTGACTTCAAATTAACATTTTATCTCGCAATCGTCGATTTGTTTCATTCTAATGATACGTGTTCGTAATAGAAAAATTAAAAAAGAAAAATTTATTTTATTATCATGAGAATTTCACTTTTGTAAATTTTTATAATCGACTTTAACAATTTCATTTCCATTTCCAGCATTATTTTCACCGAACGCGAGACAATTATCGATGCAACGATGAATAACCGATTCATGTTAACGCATAATCGCAAGAGGTCGCTTCAATAGCCCAGATACGATGCGCGATGAAGTTGTTGCATAGCTGTGAATGCGGTCAGTATTCGAATCGAGCAACCGTTGCAAAGACACGTGGTGTCAACGCGGTGGAGGTCGACAATATTGATTCGTAACCGCAGCACGGTGATACACTGGTCACGAATGGCCACTAACAAAGAGGAAACGAATGATAGAGGGAAACTGAAGCTACACACACCGCTTGATAACTGAGTTAAACGCTCCTAGTTACCTCGTCACACCTTCCAACTTCTGCAATCGATGTAAATGTCGTCCGTGCAGTCGTTCGAGTCTAATTCTCGTCTTTATTCTCAATGGATATTCAAGTTCTTTTTATCGATAAAGGTACTTGAAAAAGTGATAAATTTTTTAAATGAGTTTTTTTTCGGATTTTCTGTTATCTAACTTTGTCCTGTCTTTTGTAAGTTATTCTTAGAGAGGTTAGATTGAGGTTAGAAATTCTAATCTGAAAATTGGAGAAATTTAATTATCATATAAATTTAAATAATAGAATTTTTTAATCAATTTTTCATCTTTTATTTAGTTTGATCTTAAGAAATTAAATCATATAAGTTGTAATTTATATACATATATATTAAAATTACTAATAAAGATTAACTAATGAAGATACTTTTGAAATTTTAAATAAAGATAAAAAAATATACAAATAGTATACACTTTTCATACAAATCTTTTATCAATCTTTAATTTGTAAAAAAAGACAATTCTAAATAAAACTAAGAAAATATACAAATATACAGAAAGTTTTTAAAAGAAATTTTTCTATTAATGAAAATATGATTGTCAAGATTATATCATGATGTATATACCTTTTACAATTTCAAATAAGAATATTAAATAAGTTCAAGTTATGTATCTCGATCTGTCTATTAGAAAAGATGACACTTCATTTTTCAAAATTATTCTAATTTTGTTCACCTCGTGTCGTCTCTTTACAGATATGCATATCGAAATCATTCTTTGTTTGCGTTCATTTTGACAGCATGAGATTCACGAATAAATGGATAGCCTCGTAAATTTCATAATCGGTGCTAAGTTGAAATATCGGTTTGACGAATGATAAACGTGTCACTCCCACGCGTGTTATCGCTGGTTTCATAAAACTTTAATAATCATTCTTAATTACATTTATTCTTACGTTTATCCTTTTATGTTTGGAATGACTTTATATTCGACCTTTCGACAATATTTCTCATGCTCCTTTGCTCCGCAAGCACGAGAAATTGAAATTTAATTAATTCGATTTTAATAAGTGATTTAATAAGTGATTGAAATTTAATCATGTTACATGATTAATTTGTATTTCGAAATTTAATCGAGCTATTTGATAAACGTAAGTATGAAAATGTATACAATTAATCTATATTTTTATTTTAGTTTGAAAAATCGGGAAAATTTTCAACTAAAGATTGCCTTGAAAATTAATGTTTGAAAAGTTTGAATTATTCAATTATGGTTTGGAATAAATGATTGTCTCTGAAATTTATAAAACGGTTGTTAAGGATTTAATTCATCGTGTAATTTAAAAATTATAGAGATAAAATTTAATAATTCCTTTTCCTGTGCAACTTAACACTTCGCATCAACATTTATCCACAATAAATACTATTCTCTTTATAATTGTATCTTTTTAAAATATCTTAATCATTGATACAAAAAAAAAATAATTTCGATTTCAATTCACAAATATCTCATCAAATTATAAAAAAAATTCGACAAAAGTCAACAAATAACAGAAATAGAATTAAAGAAGTCAATTTATTCATCGTACATTTCTTTTTGGAATGAAAATTTCGTATAAGTATGCACATATGAGATAACATAACCTAACCTAATCGATCGAAGATTCTCAAGTTGAATACTATACATAGAGGGCGATACGTGACAATTGTATCGATTTTAGAAATTTTCTATCCGAAAAACTATCGACTGGTAAATTAAACTGAATCCATTGAAACCTCTAGGTCATAATGTATACTATGTACACTATGTACACTATGTGTATACTATTTATTCGAAAGACAGTCGCGTGCAATTAACTTTAATATAATCATCCAGAGTTACGTGAATTCGCTTGAGACATGGACTCGAAAGGATATATCGCAGAATGAAATTGTATTAAGAATATTTATCTGGTAGTTTGAAAAGTTTGTTTTGTAGCAAATAAAAAGTAAATTTAATCGAGATATCATTAGGAAATGATGAAAATTTGAAAATAATTATAGGAAGTAATTAATATTATATAAATAATTCGGAATGAAATTTCAATTCAGTGTTAAAAATAAAATTGCAGATGCAACGAAAATGAAAATGTGCATATGACAGCAATTATATTAAAGACATAAGAAAAAGAAATATAGAATATTTTTATCCATTTTTTATATTTCTTGAGAAACCTTATGATATAGAAAATCCTTGACTTTTACATTCGTATCATCTTTATTGTTAAAAAAATAAATAACTAACAACTAGATGTGTTAATTAAAAGATCTTTATGGATAAATATTTGATATTACAAAAAAAAATCGGCATGAAAAAAAAAAAAAGAAAGAATTTAATTAAAAGATTTTTAGGGAATTTTTATGGAATATATTTTATACTTGTGATTGCTTTTTTTACCACAATTACATCGCCGTTAACAATCGAAATAAAATAAAAAATAAAAGCAGAACAATCAATCGTCGACCACGATGCAAACTCATCCTAAAAAAGTTCAAAACATTCTAAATTGCTAATAACTTTTTTGATTGTAAAATACATAAACCAAAAAAAAAAAAAAATTTTAAATATTTAATTGTTATCTTCGAAAGTATCTTCTTTTCTAACGCTCATTCTAATTTTAATATTTTTCAAAGAACTATTCGATTATCGTCAAGCATACATAACCTGTATTATTCAAACGTCACGTTTGTCACGTTAGTCTCTGCTCACACAAAACATTTTCAATGTGCGCACACGTATATATATCCTATCTCGGTATCGGTACAGAAAGGTATAAAGCCTAGCATGTGTGATCGATCAAAGAGACAAAAAAAAAAACATTTTACCCTCGCTTACGATATTTTCGTGCGGCGTACACATATTTTCGACATGTGAAAGCTTCGATCATTCAAATGGTGCATTTCTATGGAATGTCACCGTATTGGAATTTCGATATCGATCATTTTTCGCCGACAAGTTCAGGAAGGATAAGGATAAAAATTGACGAAATTTTGAATAAAATTTGAAATAGTATAATAGATAGTATAAAATAAATATAGTACAAATATATAAATAATATAGTAATAGTATAAATATAAAGGGTGTAATAATAGTATAGAGAATGGTATAACTATTGAGAGGAATTTATTTTTCGTGTAAAAAATAATGGAAATTCCGAGATAAGATATTAAATTCATAATGTAATTATAATAATTGATGAGAAAGAAAAAATATTGGAAAAATGATATTCATATTCGAAAAGGGATTTTTTAAAACTTAATGAAAAATTTACAGATTATTGCAGCAGCTCATTTAAAATAAATATCCGCCAGTTACGTTGACAAAGTATTCCGTTTCCTTCATTTTTATATGAAATTCCTCACGGCTATATTTATCCACTTTTAAATTGATTAAGTTGATTCGTCACATTTTTTTCAAATGTCTTCCCTCTTTCGTTTCATTCAAACTTTCTTCAACGCAACTTGACCCTGTAATAAATTGTAAAATATAAATACAAAAAAGAAATTTGGAAAATATTAAATTTCGAAAATAATAAGACTACCGTATTAATATTGGCTTCTCCATAAAATTTATAATAATTTAAAAGAAAATCTTTGGAAAACAATTTAAATAATATTTTCATTATTAACATTGATCTTCATTAATTCAAGAGAAATTTCTGAAAAAATATTGAATTCCAAATTTTTTTTTAAAAAAGAAAAAAGAAAATAATTATTTCTTAAATAATAAAATCAACCATATTAATATAATCAACTTCTTCACAAAAATTCCAAATACCGAACTTCGTATTTTGTGCAAAAGAATTATTGAAACTTGCACAATCAACATTGATCTCCATAAATTATTCATCAACCTTATAATACCTCCTCGATCGTTCCTCGATGCATTTCATTTAAGGATTAGGTATGTACACGTACATGTAAATGTTTTGCAATAGCGCAGAAAATGTATTATCTTAATTACAACGAGGCACTTTCGACGTAACACACTTACTAACCATCCAGCTAATTTATTTGCCCACGAGCCAATGCCATCGCACGCATGATATCCAACTAGCCAATGATCTTCATTTTTCCATCCTTCTTCGTGCAATGATCGCGCAGATGCCACAACCAAGATAACGCGCTGTTATTTTTGTAGTTGTTCCGTGAGGGAATCGACACGAACACGTGTGGCGGAAGAAAATGTACAAAATTGAAAAATAGGATTCTAAAGGAATTGATCATAATTTTTGTTATATTTTATTTATATTAGATATTTTGATTGAAAATGGAACGATTTGAAAAGGAAAATTGTTTGGAAATTTTCAAAATATTAATTGTGATTTCTATGATATTAAAGGATTTCTATGAGGATGGAATATTTTAAAAATGAAGAATTTTATACTTGATTATTATTAGGTGTTTCTAAGGATTTTTAATTGTAAGAATTGATTGTTATTGAAAGTAAATAAATTTTTCATTAAAGTCGTTATTTTATTTTAATTTTTAAAAATTGACAACATTCATACTTAAGAATTTTTATTATATCTTCATAGAGGAAATTCGAATTCAATACTGTATTATCTCAAATATTACACAAATCACAAAATCGAAACGAACAAAAATAAAAAAGATGGTGAATACTATCGTTACACGTATTGCAGTATCGAAAAACCCTTGACATTTGAATACTGGGTCAGAGTTTCGAGGTAGGAATATAATCTTTTGAATGAAATTGGTCCATCGAATCCTCGTTCCCCTTTATCACGTTATTTAACTCTGTTAACTTCAATTAACAAATACAGAGAAAAATTTCCTCATTTCGTTTCTTTATTGAAATCGAATAAGAATCGAGATCGAGTTTTTAAATATACATAATTCCAGTAATTTATTCCGGTAAATTTTTTAATTGAAGAAAATTTTTTTTTATAAAAATAATCGATTACCATGCAAATGGAAAATTTATTAAATTGAATTTAACAAAATACATTTAATAAAACCGTAAAATTCTAGAAGGGATTGTATTTTTTTAATCGAACTATCAACAATTTAAATAATAATTTATTCGAATTATCTAGAATATCATATAATGATATTATCAAGATAAGAATTATTTATTTACTTTATCTTTCATTGTGACAAATGGAAAAATTTAATTTGCATAAAGTTTCTAATAATTCGTATTGATGTATCGTTTATGCAATTCCATGCGTATTTCTACT